CACTTAGTGGCAGTCAAGATTAAACTGTCTGCTCAGTGGCAGGTAGGAACAAACTATCCACTTAGTGGCAGTCAAGATTAAACTGTCTGCTCAGTGGCAGGTAGGAACAAACTATCCACTTAGTGGCAGTCAAGATTAAACTGTCTGCTCAGTGGCAGGTAGGAACAAACTATCCACTTAGTGGCAGTCAAGATTAAACTGTCTGCTCAGTGGCAGATAGGAATACGTTGTCTGCTCAGTGACATGTAGGAATAAGCCATAGGTATCTGCAGAACTTTTTCCAGGGAGCAAAGTAGTGTGAAATTGTGAATTGAATAAAAAAATTCATATGCTGGATGAATAAAGAGAGAACTATGTTTCTCATTTTCCAGGTGGGGGCAAGTGTCCCCTCTTGCCACTCAGTGCAGATAGGAATAAAGTATCTTTTCAGTCACATGAATATTTTGTATAGTGCTTAGAAGATTTCCAATTAAAGTGCTGTGTGGTTGTAGAGAAACACCATAACATTATACTGAGTGTAGCTCTATCATATCTGAGCTGTTACTGCTATGAAAAAAAAATGGTTAGCCAAGATTTGGGTAATTTAACAGAAGTGTCAGTCAACTTAGCAAACTGATGCCAGTTAATTAAACAGAAATGGTAGACAAGTGCAAGGTACAGCAAGATTAATGTTAAGAAATTAAAACAGAAATATCATATTTTAGAATAATAAGAAGAGAACATCGTTTATTCTGGACATTCAAAATTTGTTTCAGAATTTGTATTTATTCATGTTTAATACTTAGGAGCCGTTTGCCCTCTGGAGAAGATGTGTGACGTTGCTCACAAGTATGGAGCAATAACATTTGTGGATGAAGTTCATGCTGTTGGCTTGTATGGAGAACATGGTGGTGGGATTGGAGAGCGTGATGGGGTCATGCACAAGATGGATATCATATCTGGCACATTAGGTAAGGCTAACCCTAATTCATCTTGTGTGTGTGTAGAGTATTAGGCAAATGTAAATTATTCAAATTTAAGTACAAAATTAATATCATCTCCTTTACAGATATTAGAGAACATGTTCAACTTACAACACACTATGACTGTGTCTGTGAAGCTGTAGGTAAATTATTGTAATCTGAATTTGAATTAAAGAATCATTGGCCAGATAATACTTACTACTTGTTTAAAAATAAGGAAGGAAATTTCATAAGCTCTACAGATACCACTTGGTAACTGTAAGAACATTTTTCCAGTTTATCTGACTTTGTTTGAGCTTTTATGTTATAAGACTTGACTTGAGGTTTCAGGTATTATGACATCATTGGCTAAGATTTAAACAGATAATTTGGCTTGGCCCCGTTAAACCATAGATACATAGTTTAGCTTGCATTTGTTAAGCTTTAAATAGAGAGTCTGGCTTGGCCCTGTTAAGCTTTAAGCATATAGTTTGACTTTGTTCTTTTAAGTATTGAATAGATATTTTGGCTTGGCCCTGTTAGGTATTAAATAGATAGTTTGGCTTGGTTCTATTAAGTTTTAAACATGTAGTTTGGCTTGGTTCTGTTAAGTTTTAAACATGTAGTTTGGCTTGGTTTTAAACATTTAGTTTGGCTTGGTTTTGTTAAGTTTTAAACAGATAGTTTAGTACTTTAGCTTGGCCCTGTAAAGTTTTAAACATGTAGTTTGGCTTGATTCTGTTAAGTGTTAACTAGATAGTTTAGCTCAGCCTCGTTAAGCTTTAAATAAGTAAGCTGGCTTTTAATTAATGTAAGATAGATAAATTAATTGATTTCTTAATAATATTTTAAATAATAAAGTTAGTTATTAACCATGACACCATTCTTTGTAGTTTTGGTTATATTAATGTTGTCGTGTATTGGATTTGTTACTCAGTGTACTTTCTTGAAAGTAAAACAACTTTTGAAATTTTGCACTGTCATCAGGAAAAGCATTTGGAAACATTGGAGGCTACATTGCTAGTACATTGCCCCTGGTGGATACGGTTCGAAGCTACGCAACAGGTTTTATCTTCACCACCTCTCTTCCTCCCACTGTCCTTAAGGGAGCATTGACTTCTATCCAGGTTTGTTTTATACCTACTCTAATTTTATTTTGTAGAGATTAAGAAATTATAATCGAACAGTTCTAGAGCATCTTAAAATGCATAACGGGGTTCTTCTCTTTTAATCCGTGTTTCATCATTGATTTACTTCATTTGTAAAACATCTTCTTAGGTGTTGAAAAGTGAGGAAGGCAGAATGCTGCGAGAAAAGCACCAAGATAACGTCCGATATCTTCGTAAAACACTGATGAATGCTGGAATTCCTGTTGTACATTGTCCATCTCACATTATTCCTGTTCACGTAAGTGTTGTTAGTTTCATTTTATCACCTGTAAATCCTTTCCTGTTTTGAACTTTTTGGGTATTGATATCATAGCTGACAACACTTATATAAAAGATTAAAACCTCTGTGGTTCTAATACATGTGTATTTGACACGTTTGAGTATTTTGTATTGGAGGTTTTGGGGGCAGGTTTAGTACACTACCATAAAAATTGTTATTAACTACTTGGTAGTTCAGCATATATTTTTCTTTGATGTGATTTGTTCACTCTGCAATATTAATATGAGAAACAAAAACAACATACAATTAAATTTGTTGAATATCCAAAGTAGGAAGGTATTTTACTTAGAATTACATCCTTATTATGAAGTTTATTTTCATTTGATGAGAAATCATTATGTTCAAATCTCTACGTTTTTACATGTGAAACTTATTTGAATAGTTTTGTTCTTGATGACTGCCAATCTTACACAACACCCAACGTTTTGTAATTAGGTTGGCGACCCTTGGTACTCTACTAAAGTGTCAAACGAACTGATTTCAATGCACGGGCATTATGTCCAGGCCATCAATTACCCGACTGTTCCTCGAGGTGAAGAAAAGCTTAGAATTGCACCAACACCATTCCATACTCGACCCATGATGGAGGCGTTTGTACGAGACCTTGTGAGTGTGTGGCGTGGTTTAAAGCTGCCTTTAAGAGACGGGATTTGCGAAAAGGTAAATATAATTACTGAAAGATTGAATATGAAGTCAAAAAGCAGTCATTTATTAAGTCACATAGGTGTATATTTTTTTGACCCAAAAGAACTGTTTTCGTAAATTGCTAGAATATAAGAAAATTATCAAAAGAATGTCTTAAATCAGGGAGTTAAGCCAGACATTAAACAGAATATTAATGCTCAATATACCAGAAGATAATATTAAACCTGGAATTCGAGGGAATGTATTATGAAGAAGTAGTTATGTTAAGTGATTTTAAACCAATGATGAAACATATGCGATATACATAGGACAAATAAATACATTTATTGAAAATTGCAGATATAGTATAAACAGAACGCCAATAAGGAATAACGTTGACAATAAAACTCAGATGTAGATAGCAATGGGTACAGTCAATTAATATGACAATATTGATCATATGGTATAGCTGATATTGGAGCTGTCCAGGAAGAGAAAAATATAGTTAATAATACTATTATAAATTCGTGATATGCTAGTCAACTATTGGCCCTTGACGAAAATTACAACAAACTCTGTATACAACCATTCTGAACTGCTGCTGGACTTAATCCCAAAGAAGCAACACACTTCAGCAGCAAAGATGGCGCCAAAAAATGTGCAACCAATTGTGCTCGGACATCCTGGCGCCTGCGTCATCTGGTACACAAGCCCATTTGTACTACATGTGGTGCTACTTCTGGGAAATGCGCATGTTCCATACGATAAAACAGCTAGCATACCAAATAAGTAATAACTTGGTACAACTACTTGATTGTTATATCACGGATGGTGGGTAACACACTTATGTTTCCATGTTAAGCACAAGAACTGAAGAAACTACCAGTTAAATAAATTAAACTGAGCAACAAACCAGATGATATTAATAAGTTAAGTATAGTACTTGAGAATCAGACTAAAACACCAGTTAATATCTGCCTTACTGCTACAAAGAAGTTTGTATACCTCTTCTAAGTTATGGAGGTGAAGATTACATTATCAAAACACCATAACTAGTGAACTAGCAAAAAATTAGTGAAGTAACAAAATATTATATATTTTTTAGTATTATCAAGTGATCATAATTTTGTTTTTTCATGACCAATAGAAAGACCGAATTAAAATAAATATACTAACATTGAACATATATTATTGTGGAAGACAGTGGTAGTATGTTAAAATGCGGAATAATCAACTGATTAACGAATTGATACGTAAATAAACGATCCACATTTATTTCCTTTTAGTAACCATTGAAGTGTGTATAAAAGTAAAACTAAAGTATGATGATTTAACTCCATTTTTTTAAGCATTCGTAATACACTTAAGTATACGATTTGGGAATCAGACTAAAACAACAGTTATTACTCTGCCTACTGCTATCAAGGAATTTTGTACTTTAGTTAAAAAAAAGTATAATAAATATTATTACGTCCTTTTTTTTATTGTTTTGTATTTTAGAAATGCGAATTTTGCGAAAAGCCGTTATATTTTGAACACTTGGAATCACGAGTGCTGCCACCGTGCGGAAATCGTTTTGGATGTCCCCAGATGGTTGCCGCACATTAACAGGAAATGTGTTTGTTGAAGTAAAGTAACAGTGGTTATGAATTAATTTTAAAAGCATGAAATATATTGAGTTTTACAATTTTATTATTTCACATGTTTAAAGGTATATTTTATTATCCAACTTTGAAATTAGCTATTATATAAAAAAAAGTATTACACGGAATAAAGATTTTGCACGCTTGAGGCTTACAAGCATATGTTCTCTTTGCAATACACACACACACACACACACGTATTAAAAACCCATAAGTTATCGATTAAATTCAAACGTAAGTAACTAGTTCTTTTGTAAAACTATTTATGACTATTGTTTGTTATAAAATACTGAAATAACTGGGTATTTCTATTTGAAAGCATATTGGTATTATTATATAATATGCGTCAACAGTGTTTAAATTATATTAAATATTCGTCACTGATATCAGACTGATTTTTTCAATAACACAGTTGTTATATATGAAGACATCGAAGTTATTTTTGGATGTATTTTTTATTTTTTACTTTATGGCTGCATTTGTAACAGTGCTATGAAAAGAAACAGAAGCTGAAATTTATTTATTTATTTTTTTACTTTATGGCTGCATTTTTAACTGCTATGAAAAGAAGCAGGAGCTCACTTTATTTTCACTACAGGTAAAGACTGGTGAAATGGTAGTTAAGTCCCGAGAAATACGTAATTACAAAAATATGAAAATAAAGGTGAAAACATTTAGGTGAGATACTTTTCGAAAAAATAAACACAAAAGCACGACAATATGGCAATGACAAATCAATAATTAGAACGTTCGTTTCAAAGGCTTATATTTTGTGTTACCTTAATATATTTAAGGACAAGCTTCCAGCAAAAGAGCCAACGTTAATACAATTAAGCGTAAAATAACTATTAAAAGCTAATTTTTAGCTGCAAACAACATGCACACTAAGGTTTAATGACCTTCCTATATATTTTACATACTTCAGATGTGTACTTCATCCTGTATATTCAAAAATGTTCTTTACCTTAGAGTTCATTGTTTTACACATTTTTGATAATTAAGATGTATTTTATGATCTATTTTATGAGCTACGTACTAGTTACATGTTATGTCATGTATAATCAACATCTGCAGGTCATGTTTCGACCTATTTAATGCCCATACTAGAGTTGCATGTTATGTCATGTATAATCAACATCTGCAGGTCATGTTTCGACCTATTTAATGCCCATACTAGAGTTACATGTTAGGTCCTGTATAGTCTACATATTACAGGTCATGTTTCGACCTATTTAATGCCCATACTAGAGTTGCATGTTACGTCCTGTATAATCTACCTACTACAGGTAATGTTTTGACCTATGCAATACCCAGACTAGAGTTACATGTTAGGTCCTGTATAGTCTACATATTACAGGTCATGTTTCGACCTATGTAATGTCCATACTAGAGTTACATGTTACATCCTGTATAATCTACATATTACAGGTCATGTTTCGACCTATTTAATGCCCATACTAGTTGCATGTCTCGTCCTATACAATTTATGCACCATAGTTATGTATTTCATCAACTACTTTTAGTTTTGATTAGTGTTATGGGGCACTTACTGATGTGAAGAAGAAATTTTCTACTTCAGTGATATTATTTTTCTTATTAGAATTGTTTCAAACTCTGAATGATTCTTCTTTACATTGAGCATTTGACATTACCATAGTATTTCAGATGGTTTAATTTTGACTTTCTTTCAAGATTTGTGTGAATGCTTACAACAATGCTATGGTAAGTAGTGCATGCATCTTTGTAGCTGCTGAATATGCTGAGATGTCACCAATGTCAATTTGATATCTGGTAAGGTGAACCTAGCTTAAAAACATGTTCCGATATTTGGTCAGCAATTCTTATAAAACATCTGATCGTAATATACCAGTGTTTGCTGTTAGGGTAGTGATTACACTTAAATCTATTTCCTCTTAGCTTAATGCTCATCATTGTTATCTCATTCAAGGAAATTCTTGTTCAGTTTCTGAACATAAATGTTCATTTTTGTGGATGGATGTGAGACATAAATTAACATGTCATAACTTTTAACTGGAAGTATACTAGATCTGTCTGGTTACAACTACTGATGACATTGTTTTTTCTCATCTTTTGCTCCACTAGGAGTATCCCATGTGTAAAAGGATTTTCTTCCTTCCTATGTTTGCTGCCTTTTCACCATAACAAGTGGCCAGAGAGATAGGCTCGTGCAAGTTTCGATGATCTTGAATCAACATTTAGCATGTTTTCTTTGTTCTTTGCATTGTACTTTCTGAAGGACATTAAGATAGCAGGAAGTCAGGCTTTTGATGTCCTTCTCTTTCTTACTTGAGGCTTCAATTATTCCATTGGTTTGTGTTTTTGAAAAGTCAAAATGATCTTCCAACTCTCAGTCACTTCGTTAAATTTGTGAATTTTTTACAGGACGTTTCAGATTTATTACTGGTCTTTGGATGACCTGAGCTTTAATCCCAGCCATTCAACTCTTTCAATTGTTGAATTCTTATTTAGTACTTTCCCTAAAAACAGGTGTGGCTACTATTCTACTATGTCACTGCTTATCCAGATCTTAATATGTTCTTTTTTTAGATATGTTCAATTGGGCTCTCAAGAGAACAAGTCCTATTTCTTTTGAATTTCCCATCTTTTTTAAATAGGCTTGTTTTGATTACCTGTTGGGTAAATTATTATTCATTGTTTAAGTAGAATTCTCACTGAAGAATAATATCCCAGGATCTGACTTGGATAATCGTACTGTTTAGGAACAGTACTGCAGAGAGTGTGATTGGTAAACATGTCATTGGTAAACTCTGCCAATGGCATTCTTTTATTAATTTTGATCTAGACAACATCTATATAACTTCCAGTTGGAGATCTGTGGCCAAGATATATTTCAATTAATTTTGGAGACGTCAAGACATGATCAAAAACAAAACTCAAATGACCTATATTATCCCTGTTAACGAGTAACACAAGTTAATAACTTATATAAAAAAAAGGTTGTACTCGCCATTGAGCTCACAAGCTAGTGTACCTCATTCAGGAATACCAGACATACATGTACCTGACAGCTCACTACAGTCCATGAATGTCTCAAAATGCACGACTTCCTGGAGAAACTCACCTCAGTCGAAACCATTAATTTGCTATGAATGTACTATTTCGGGAAGTTTGCTGATGACTTGAATGGGTATTACATCATTTTCTGATGATGCGAAAAACTGTTCTAAGATTCGTGAATTGACCTAGTCACACAAATAATCAACTTTACTTCGGAAAAAACTTTAGAAGTGTTTGAATTTTTACACCATTCTGTTCCTATAAGAAATCTGAAGAAAATATGCAGGGATGTGAAACAGCTGGGAATTTCTAACTGAAATAACGATAAAGACAGTATCACCCAGTACACATAAACACCATGTTATTTCTCATTTTTATACCCTGCCTTGGGGATGATTTTGTCTCATCATCATTGTCATGCATGTAGTGGACCGAACTCTTTGTTGTAGCCTATGGACTGAGAAAAGTGCAAAAACTGGACCTTGTGGGCAATTTCCCAGTGTTCTCTGTTGTACATTTTATTTTCAAATTCTTTAGTCCAGAACTACAAAGGATGAACTCTGATCCTTTTCTATCCCATTCTGACCTTCTTATCGAACGTATGCACTCTTTCAATCAACATACCTGAGTGGTTAATGTCAAGTTCTACAGGAAATGGTAGGTCCAAGTTGCTCAGTAATTTTGATTTTTATCGAAAATCGCCGGTTTTGTTATAGAAAATATCGTACGGTTTTGTGTATAATATTATGCATTGCTTTCTTAACGTTCACTGTGTAGAATAATTGTTTTGTTATTTCCGTGACATTTAGACACAGATAAACCAAACGTATTTACAATATTTGCTGATAGAAAGTGAAGATGAAAAGCGTGTGATTTAAACTATTTGTTTACGGCGTTATTACTAGAATATGTCTGTAGTGCATTTCATCAGAGCGAAGAAATGTGTACTGGTTGTTTAATTTATCAGAATATGATTGTGTTTTAAAAATGTCAATGACATGTTTCAGATTAATATGCTAGCGAAACAGACATTTCCAAATCCCATTAAACATTTGAATTATGAACCTCACACTTTAGAAGAAATGTGTACTGGTTGTTTAAATTATCAGAATATGACTGTGTTTTAAAAATGTCAATGACGTGTTTCAGATTAATATGCTAGCGAAACAGACATTTCCAAATCCCATTAAACATTTGAATTATGAACCTCACACTTTAGAAGAAATGTGCATCGAGACTGGATTATTCGCCAAAGATAAAATTTTGGTGTATGATCCCAGGTAAGATAAAGGTTGTCGTTGTTACACTTGATTTTATATTTCATCATGACAATATAACTAGCGAGTTTTTCATTTAAAACAAAGGCTTTATATGATTAAAAAGTTTATTTATAAATGGATAACCCCGGGAAAGATAGCCGTATTTCTATTTAGGCCTTCCTTTTCGGAGGCCTATCTTACAGAGATAAATAGCCAACAACATATGCCAGCCCCTGAATGGGAGTTTTACAATTCTGACCAACAGTAAAGTTAAAGCCGACATTGTGGGAAGCCTGTTCATTTACGTAGCATGGCCAGGTGGTTAGGACGCTTGACTCGCAATCTGAGGGTCGCGGGTTTGAATCCCTGTCCCACCAAACGTGAGTGCGTTATAATGTGACGGTCAATTCCACTATTCTTTGTTAAAGAGTAGCCCAAGAGTTTGTGGTGGGTGTTAATAACTAGCTGCCTTACCTCTAGTCTTTCACTGCTAAATTAAGGACTGCTAGCGCAGATAGCTCTCGTGTAGTTTTGCGCGAAATTCAAAACAAACAAATAATTTATGTAGATATACATACTCACTGTAGTTTTAACAAAGAATATGATATTCCTAGTGAATGTCTTACAAATAAATATTAGTTGTCACTTAAGCCTCTTGTTTGATTAAAATGATTTTGTCAACACTAACAATAATCATTCAGACATCATGACTCAACGTTTTAAGACTTCTTACCTGAAGCAGCACATAAATTCATAGGAGCAAAAAATCAATTGATTTTCAAGGGTATAATATAACCTTTACAAACGTATGAAATTCCAAACGAATACGACAACACAAACTATTGCTGAA